TGGTACTTCGAGTAGGAGTTCTAAGGAGTCGTAAATTTATCACATGTTATTTATTCGACATGGCATTGATTAGCAACAACATAAGGCAAATAATTATCCTGTAAATACGTCTAGAGAGATTGCATTCTTGGCATTAATTGCATTCGCCTGCCATATGGCGAGTATAATGAATACGACCACTATGAATAGCAAGAATTTATAGCAAGTATTTTCATGTATGAGTTTGAAATAGTGGAAAAAATGCTCTTGAAAAAAAAAATGAAAAAATGCGTTTTGCAAATAACGGACATGCGCTCTATTCTGTGTTGTCTGCGCCGATCTCTCAAAGGGTCTCAATAAAGTGATATGCATCTATTTCTTGCAAAGGTCGTTATTGTTGATCGCTGATCTAGAGAAACCAGTTGTTCGTTAACGAAAATATCACTTCCATGGCTGCTCGTGAAGACTCAGGTGTCATGCGAACAGAATCTCCCGATTGTATGAATGGTGGTTAGTTCTCTATATTCATTTTACTTATCCAAGCAAGAGAAACACGGTTACAATTATTGTACAACGCGAAAATTTGGAGGAAACTCGAGAAAGATAAGACTATGTACTTTGGTGTGTTAAACAGTGAGACATAAAAGATCTGCTTAACACTAGTTTCTTGATCTTGAGCAGCACCGTTTCACTTTGCAAGAAAATTGTTCTTTTCTGACTATATATGTTCGAACGTGGTCTCGTCCTCTGCGCTTCGCCCGTTTGACACATGCGATGACTTTTCCAACAGCAATCTTGTAACGGAGCTGTTCCCCTGATTGGCACAATACGATTTCCTTCAAATTTCTTTTTTTAAGGATTAGAAAGCTTTTCTCAAAGTGATCTCGTAGCTGCAACAAAAAGAGTGAAGGGAAATAAGGAGACAGTATCGTCAAAGGTAAATGGTTAAGTGTTACAAGTAATGTTTTATTTATTGTACTTGTTATAGAAACCGAAAGTTGAGGTACTTACCTTGAGCGATGATGAATGTGATTTGTCTCCGACGATCTCTCATTTAGTTACCTCTGCCTCGTTTGCAACTCAAACGATCTCGCAACAGGTTAGAGCTAATATCCTTTCTATCTCAAGTACTTAATTATTTAGATATTTATGGCCTGTCGTCTTGTCGTGCAGGTCCC